GCTGCTTGACAAAGGCGCCGACGTCAACGCGCAGGGTGGATTGCACGGCAACGCACTCCAGGCAGCTTCATTTAGAGGCCACGAGCAGGTAGTTGAAGCGCTGCTCGACAAAGGCGCCAACGTCAACGCGCAGGGTGGACAGTACGGCAGCGCACTGTACGCAGGTTCAGAGGGAGGCCACGAGCAGATGGTAAAGATGCTGCTTAATGCAGGTGCTTATGAGCCCAAGGAAGACGATTCTTTGTTGAGATTAGAATAGTTTCGCTCACCCACCCAGCAATTTGAGCGAGCAGCAAAGATACGCCGTGGAGGGTGACTCAAGGCCGTCGGCATTTGCCACATTACTCTAAGAGTTGTGTCAGGTAACGTACTCTATCACCAAGCCAGTCATATCACCGAACCGGTCAAAATCTGCCAAGACCAACACAACTCCGCACTTCACAGTATGTCTTAACAACATCACGACCTATTGCTTCAACACAAAGGGAGACTGCAGCTTGCTCTCCAGACCTACAATACTGGACAGTTTCAGAGCCATCAGGCTGCTGCTGCTGCATTCAACGTTAACCAACGCAGGCTCTCTGAACACGCTAGCAATACTCCATTTTGACTCAACGTACGCGCAAACTGCTAGAAGCTCACTGCAACTGAAGAGCAGACAATTGTCTAATATATCCTTAACCTTAATTCGCAAGGATTTGCGCCTTAGCTGTGTAAGGTGGCAGAAATAGCTAATAAACTATTAGGTGTGCGTGGTGGGGAGCCTATTAGTAAACTCTAGGCTATAAGATTTATAATGTGTTTAGATTAGCTTAAGATAGTGTTTAACTAAGCAAAGGACAGACAGAGGATACTACAGGAAGATCCTGAGGTAATTAACGCATAGTTTATGCTAGTAGAGGGTACTAAGGCTAAGTATAGCATCTACAACAATAACGCGCACAACTTTAATAAGACTAGGTTCTAGATGGGCGTGATAGGGTTAATAAAGGTTGTCACAGGCGCTGAGAGACGCGCTTGACCTGAGCTTGTTCAGCCAGGCGATTGGGAGTGGGTTACAGTTATACAGAGCATCTGCGCTGCTGGATATGCGACCCTGCCTTTCATCATCTACAAAGGACGCATCCACATCTCTGCCTGGTACAAGGAGACGGATATATCACACAATTAGAAGCTCTCTGTCTCTAAGAACAGCTGGACAAACAACGCGCTTGGCCTTGAGTGGTTGAAGCATTTTGACGCGCATACAAGAGCGCGTTAGGTAGGGGGATACAGGCTACTCATCTTGGACGGCCATAAGAGCCACCTTAACCAGGATTTTAAGGACTATTGCCTAGATAACAAGATCCTTACTCTCTGTATGCCAGCTTACTTGTCACACATCCTCTAGCTGCTTAACGTGGTCTGTTTCTCGCCGTTGAAGCGCAAGTACTCCTAACGCGTCTAGGACTTGGCACGCTAACGCGTCTTCCACATTAACAAGGAAGGCTTCCTTCCAGCCTTTAGAGACGCGTTTCTTAACGTGTTTACAAAGGCTAACTGTTAGAAGGCCTTTAAGGCATTAGGGCTAACGTAGATTATCACCGAGCCGGCCATATCACCAAACCAGCCACTTTCTCTTGGCACAACCACCTTTTACCCTAACACAACATGCCTTAATAATAACAACTTCAGAATACTACTAGAGAAGGCAGAGTTATCCTTGCTATCTAGGCCTTCTATGCTAGCCAATTTCGCAGTATCCACAGCGCTGCTAGAGCGTTGAACGTACCTTATTAGTAGGTCTCTAATTGCCTTTACAATATTATGTTTTAACTAGACGTACGCACTAATTGCTAGAAACTTACTATACTAGAGGAGCAGACAATTATCTAGTATATACTTAACCTTAATTCGCAAGGATTTGTGCCCTAGCTATATAAGGTGGCAGATATAGCTAATAAGATACTTAGTGTGCGTGGTGAAGAGCCTGTTGGCAAACTATAGGCTAGTAGGCTTATAACGCGTTTAGACAAGCTTAAAATAGCCTTTAATTAAGCTAAGGATAGACAGAGGATACTATAGGAAGATCCTAAGATAATTAGCACATAGTTTAAGCTAGTAGAGGATACTTAAGTTAAGTATAGCGTTTACAACAACAACATGCACAACTTTAATAAAACTAGGTTCTAGATAGGCGTTGCTTTGTCTTTAAAGGTTGTAACAGGCTTAGAGAGACATGCTTAGCTAGAGCTTGTTCAGCCAGGTGATCGCGAGTGGGTTACCGTTATCCAGAGCATCTGCGCCGCTAGGTATGCAACCCCGCCTTTCATCATCTACAAAGGACGCGTCCACATCTCTGCCTAGTATAAGGAGACAGATATACCCTACAATTAGAAGCTCTTAGTCTCTAAGAACAGTTAGACAAATAATATGCTTAGCCTTAAGTAGTTAAAGCACTTTAACACATATATAAAGACACGTTAGGTAGGAGTGTATAGGTTGCTTATCTTAGACAGCTATAAGAGCTATCTTAACTAGGAGTTTAAGGACTATTGCCTAGAGAACTAAATCCTTACTCTCTACATGCTACCTTACTTGTTGCATATCCTCTAGCTACTTAACATGGTCTATTTCTTGCTATTAAAGCGCAAGTACTCCTAACATGTTTAAGACTTAGCACACTAACACGTCTTCTATATTAACAAGGAAGGCTTCCTACTAGCCTTTAGGGACGCGTTCCTTAATGTGTTTATAAAGGTTAACTACTAAAAGGCCTTTAAGGTATTAGGGCTTATTCCTACTAACACGCAGGTAGTGTTAGATTACCTTAAAGTGCAGCTGCATACCCTACTAGCAGTACCTCTACCTAAAACGCTGTAGCAATCTAAGACGCTAAGCAATACACACAAGTTTAGGTCTTAATCTAAGCTTGTAAGCAACTCCTTCTAACAATTGCTAAGTGCAGCGCAAGAGGGGTTCTTAAAGCTTGTAAAAGGGGCTAAAGAGATGCT